TCACTCGTGTGCAGGCCTGAAAGCTTCCCTCCGCCCCGAGACCTAGAAAGAACCCGTACGGAACCCTTATTTTTCTGGAAATGCTGCAGGTGCCTGCAAGCCAAGCCATACCTGGACCCTAAAGAGCCCACCTTTCTGGGGCCCCCTTGTTATGATTTCCCCAAAAGAGTCCTAAAAACCCCGAACCCTAAATCCTAAACCCTACACCCTAAACCCTAAATCCTAAACCCTAAACCCTAAATCCTAAACCCTAAATCCTAAACCCTAAATCCTACACCCTAAAATCCTACAAAACAGTAGGTTCTTCAGGGTCCAGGTAAGGCTGCTTCCCAGGCCTGGCAGAGCCTGTGCCCGCCGAACGCCTTGATGTGACTCGGCTCTGGGTCAAGGGTTCGGGACTCGGGATTTAGGGATTTAGGGATTTAGGGATTTAGGGGTTTAGGGGTTTGGGGGTTTAGGGGTTTGGGGGTTCAGGGGTTTGGGGGTTTGGGATTTGGGGGTTTAGGGGTTTAGGAGTTTAGGCTTGCGGGTCTAGGTTCAGGCTTTAGGATGTGGGTTTAGCATTGAGAGTAGTGCTAAGTCTCAGCTGAATGTCGAGCCGATCATAAGACTGGTTGCCACGTCGACAAAGCAACCATGCTGAATGTTTTGATAGCCGTCTGTTGATGTGAGACGTGACGACCATCGTCGTCAACAGCCTCATAGGCTTGAGAATTGCTGTAGGCTTCTACCTGTGCCCAGAGAATCGAAAAGTCCCATGCGTAGTCCTGGCTCTAAGGAAACCTTGGACTGGCATGCTACTCATGCCATGATCACTTAACAGTTCCAATCCCATCAAGGAGTAGCAGGGAGAGTAGTAACAGTCATAATCGCAAATTCACGAAAGACTAGCTGCAATGCTCGCAAGTGTTCCAAAGTCCGTCAGTCCATCCACCAGGTTCCGCGATGTTTCTCGAAGCTGCGCAGACGGCCTTGCCTGGGAGGTGCTACACGGTCTGGACTTGGTCCTGCTTTTGCCGGGCCGTATACCTACAAGCTAAGCCCAGATGCCACAGCTGCAGGTCCGAAAAACCACCATGAATCATGCAATAAGCCCTGCATCCGTGAAGCCTCTATGACTCTATGATGGCTGGAAGAGGGACTTGTCTTCAAGCGGACAATTCAAAGGTGCAGGGCAGGGGCCCAGACGACGGCATAAGCGTCAGACATCTCACAGCTATGTTGTGTTTTGAATCCCCAGTCGGTCCCGTGCAGAGGCCTCATTGGAGTTGCTGAACTTGGCTTGTCGCGACGATGCTCCGGAAGTGGAGGCCTGTTCTGCTTAAGCCAGTGTGGCGTAGTTTGCAACTGGTTTGTTCTTTCAGGTTGTATATAAGGGTCTCCTTATGTCATGGTCTTCGTAGAGGTTTAGGGAATACTCGCAAGATCATGTCCCCTGACAGTCCGGGACTTTAGAGGGGGTCTGGTGTTTCAGGGTTTAGGGTTTTGTATCCAGGTTTTTGGGAGTTCAGGATTTGGGGTCTTTGAGGATTTTGGCATTAGGTACCTGTGAGCCTTTGCAGGGATTAGGCTTTAAGGTGAGGGTACTTAGAACTTCCCGCTTCAGGGCCGAGGGTTGAAGTTCGACGGTTCGCAAAACTGTATCGTGATTTCTGAGTCGCCCTTATGCTCCTGTAGAGGTACCTCTACATTAATGAGTCATGTGTTGGGCTCCCAAGTCATAACTTGGGTTTCGCGGCGAATGGCCAGCTTCTCTACCTTACCCCAAACCTCAAACCCTAAACCCTAAACTCTCCATGCTTAAAAAACCTGCAACTCTTGGTCGGTTCTGGACAGCCAGGATTCTGCCTGCGCGGCAGCACTTGGTGCATGCTTCTTGGCAAGGAGATGGTGCAGACGGTTCAGGGGTCAGGGTTGATGGTTTAGGGTAGGGCTTCTAAGGCGTAGGATCTAAAGCTTCTTGTTTCGGGTGTTTTTGTCAAGGTTGAGGTACACTTCCCGTGTTGCCGTAAGCGCTTTGGCGAGGTCTGCTCGCTGCTTTAGTGAAATGTAGTATAAGTAAGTATAGTAGAAGCTGGTATTTGCATAGTACAGTAACTCTACAAGAAGTATCGTATAGTATAGTAGTGTGGTAGTCTAGTAGTACAGTAATATAGTACCATAGTAGTATAGTATATAGTATAATCGTGTCGTAGTATAGAGGTATAGCAGCATAGTAGTGCAGCAGAGGGTATAGTATCGTACGATATAGCAACATTTTTCGAGATATAATTCAGTACCTCAATAGCTTTTGGAACACGGTATGGCCCCGTCAACATTAAACGCAGAACAAGAGCCTCCCAAGCAAAGCTTCAAAGAACCGCGAAATCTCCTGATGTCCATAATTTTGCAGCTCTATTACGTTATGTTCTGCTAGGTTATCAGACTATGCCGTAGTACCGCCTAGCACGTTGTATCATGTTATATATATATATATATATAAATTGGGTTGCATTAGATCATATTTGATTAGATTAGTACATTACATTAGGCTATGTTAGAGCAGATTATATTATATTGTGTTATACTGTATTGTATCATACCTATAGTCTCTATTGTAGTTCTTTTTTTCGGTTTAACCAATTATATATTAAGGATCCTATAAGGTAACCCCAAAAAGGAACTACAATGGAGACTATAGGTATTCCACGACAGGCCCTAAACCCTAAACCGTCCCCCCAGAGTTGTCTCCTCCGAGGCGGGAGCGCCGGGCGCTGGGAGCTGGTCTTCGCTCTCTTAGCAGAGAGCTGGGAAGGCAAAGGGGGGCATTTTTTGAGGGTTGTAGGGTTATATGGGTATGAGGGTTATAGATTTTTTGAGGGTTGTAGGGTTATATGGGTATATGAGGGTTATAGGGTTGAGGATATTAGGGTGAAGGATTTAGGGCAGGTAAAAAGGGTTTTCGGGTTTAGGGGAATTTTCCGGGTTTAGGGGAAAGAAGGGTGCTAGGATTGAGGTTAAGAGGAATTCAGGCTTCAAGGATTTAGGGACTAGGGGGAATGGCGGTTGCAGATTATGGTGTGTAGGGTTTGTGCGAGGGACTGAGCCCTCTGAGGAAAGGCAAGGCAAAGTCTGGTGCTTGTTGTTCTTGTTGCAAAGACTGTGCATCCTTGGTTTAGTGTTGCCCTTGTCGGGGTGTACAAGATATTGATGGATATTTTTGTTCGTAACCTTCAGCATCCTTCAGCTATATCTGGAAGGATCTTGCTTGAGGGCTTGTGTTCAATGGGGTACTTGCTTGGATTGTCGTGTGTGCTGCTCATGTTTTTGCTGCTGGTTGTCTTTTGCGCATTGCTCCAAAGTAGATTGGAAATTGATGTTGATATGGCCATTGCGACGTTTGCTCTTCGAATGTGAGTTTTTGATGTTGATGATGTTAGTCAGTCATGAACATTATGGAGATGCAGGTGTTCATGTTTTTGATTAAAGTGAAGATGACGATGATGTTCATGTTGGTCGTGGTCATTGGTCCGACACTGATACACCAGTCAACCACTAGCATCTCAAGCACCATCGTCGTTGTCCTAGTAGTCGTCGTGGTGGTGGTAAGTCGTGGTGGGAGCAGCGTGAACAGTAGCAGTCGCCGTCGTCGTTTTCGTACCAGCAATCGTCGTCGTCCTGGTCGCGATCATAGTGGTGGTGTCCCGAAGCATGCAGCTTAGGCATCCAAGCGTTTCTCGAAGCTCTACAGTGAGTGAAATCTTTGCGCATGGGGACATGCTACAGTTTCGCATAAGGAGCTTATGGATTTGAGGTTCAAAGCTTGAGTTTAAGCGTTCAGATTCTTCTAGGTTTGATATCTTATTGGCTGTAAACTCAACTTTTCAACTTTTGGGGTTCTTATTATAATGTAGTCGATTCTGAAAGTTTCAACTTTTATGTCCTGGGGTTTTGGGACAGAGAGATATGCGAGATTTGGGTTTGTGTTCAGGGCTTGTCGAATCGACAGTTGCTTCGGGAAACGAGCCGCCGTCGTCGGCCCGTGTATGCCGTCTCTTCTTTGCATCTCCAAAAGCTTCATGCGAAAGCACAGTGGGGGATGTAGTGGGCTCTTAACTGTTTGTCCACTCTATGGCACTCGTAGAGTGTCGAATCATAAGATGTTCATAGTGTCTCGCGTTACGTGTACAAGGCTAATGCAGCAACGCCAGTGCAGCTAACAGCTAACCCTTTGGCTTGCCCCTCTACCTGCGCCTGCGATTGCAGTTCAAGATCCTGGAGGAGAGGCATACAGTGACTTGGCTTGAGGAGCTATGCCGAAAGGGTTTAGAGTTTGTGAGGGATCTGATCGGTCAAGACTTACAGAATCTTGAAACTTGCTGCCAGCTGCTACAACCTTGCCATTGTCGGCATTCTGAAAGGCTTGAGTACACGGTTTAGGGTTTAGGGTTTCCTAAATGCGAAGCCTTGCGGCACATGCACCACCGACCAACTTGTGCACGAACCATCTCGGCAGAAGGGCTCGTTCCGCCCTGCTGCGGAACGAGAACCCTGAGTAATGCAGGAACCTCAATAAGAATCCCGGGCGTTATAACCCGAAAATACTAGGAATATGGGGGATTGTCAAAATTAGGGTCCTTTTTGCAGTCCTTAATATAATACGGCACCTAATATTTAAGGTACCCAAAAAGGGACCATAATTTTGACAACCATTCATATACAGAGCCCGTTTCAGACCCAGGTTTCTTTATCCGGCTCCTAGAGCAGTATAAACGTTAACACTATACGATTAGCAGTGCATGGAAATCACTGAAACGGCCGACTGCCCTAAACCCTAAACCCTAAACCCTAAACTGATTGATGGCTTAGTTTCTGCCGGTCGCATTTCTCTTCGAAGACGTTTCAGATCTGGACCCTTCACCCCGAACCCAACCAGGACGGTCTAGGAAACTGCACCGACACGGTTTAGGGGTTTAGGGTTTAGGGTTTAGGGTTTAGAGGAAGGAGCTGTAGAAAGCGCCATGGAAGGAGCTCAGGCTGAACTGGGCCAGCACCCAGCAAAGCGCACCTGCCGCAGGTCAAGTTGCCTTGTCTTGAATGTTGCGGGGTCCAGTTTGGTCAACTGCTTTGATTGTCTTCCATGTCACTGTTAGCACTGCAGTTGATTAGGACGTGTAGTTACATTAACACTCTGGCCGAGGTGGGCGGCAGTCAGTTTCTTACCACTCGCGAGACGCTGGCCGCGTTTCCTTCATCCTTTTTTGGGTCGCTGGTGTCCGGCCGCTTGCCCACAGCAGTCCAGGAAGACGGCAGCATATTCATCGACCGCAGCCCGACGCATTTCCGGCATATCTTGGAATACCTGCGGAACGGCCCCAGAGCGCTGCTGTCCATTTCAGAAGAGGCACAGGATGAGCTGTTGCTGGAAGCTGAGTTTTATAGCCTAAATGAGCTGGCCGACAAGCTGCGGCGGTGCCAGCTCATGGACAAACACCGCATGACCTTTTCTCCGAGAACCGTGAAAATCGATGAAGACAAGTTTGAAATCGGCGTGCTGCATGGTCGGCGATATGGCGCAGCACTCTTCGACGTGCAAAATCCAGACACCTTCGACATCTGCTTTGACTGTTCCGACGGGTGGGCACATCTTCCAGAGCTTCCGGAGAACCATCCCATGATGTTTGTCGGAATCGTGCCCAAGGATGTGCAGTTGTCTTCTGAATGGCAGAAGTTACCAAGTTTTTTGCCGAAACATCAACACAGCCCCTTTTTTGATGTGAGCGATCGCGCTTTTTGGATGGATTCCATTTGGCCTGGCCAGGCTACAGCCCCATTGCCTTTGGCGGCGTGCGAAGCAAAGTGGCCCGCAGAGGTTGAAGTTCCACCCTGCTTGGTGGACGGCGCTTTCGTGGCTCTCACGGACTGTGTGTTCCCGGGAGTTGATGCATTTGCAAGGAGCGATCGGGCCCATGGCTTTTTGACTCAGATGGTGACTCAGGGCGATTTCAAGAAAGCCTCCACGGAAGGGTTCAGCAATTGGTCTAGCCGTCCGATCAATTATGTTCAGATGTCATTTGCTCGCACTACGGTGTCAAGCAGGCTGTACGTCGAATGCGGGGAGCTTGGAGGCAACGCGGAAGCCACATGGAGGCTGAACTTGGAAGACGTAGGTCTGGACCGCAACGTTCCCTACCGGCCGGTCATTTTCTACGGCACGACGGCGGTGACCTCCGTGCAAGATAAATGCACACCAGCCTGAGTGATTAGCAGTGCAACCTCATCTTGGCATGAGGAAGGTCGTGCAGACGAAAACTCGACTCGTCTTGAGGCTGACATGTGAAGGTAGAGTCCCCTTCAGCCTTAACCCTAAGCCCCGAAATCCTACCACACTAAACCCCTTCCCTCGAGGCGCAGCTATTCGGGGCCTCGGCCGCTGTAGCCAGCCAGGGCCCTGAACCGTGGAATGCCTCAGGTCAAGGTGTAAGAACAGGGGTTTAGGGGGCTTGGGAGTTTAGGGATTTCTAGGGCTTTTAGGGTTGGGGTTTACGGATTTGGGGGGTTTTAGGGGTTCTAGGGGTTTCAGGGGTTTAAAGTTTAGGGGTTTAGGATCCTCGGGTTTATGAGTTTAGGGTTTAGTGATTTTTGGATTCAGAGTTCTGGGGCGTAGAGTTTATGGATTAGGGTTTTATGGGTGTAAGATTGGGGGCAGAAGAAGTAGATACCAATACTGTTCTTTAAGGGCTCCTTGGAACAGTTCCACTATAATGTACACCCACAACGTTACTCCAATGATTGAGGCCCTCCGTGATACAAAGGTTTTGAATATAGTTTGGTATTCTTGCCATCCCCGGTCGTTGGTTTTTGATTGTAGCCCGTAATTCTCACCAGAATGAGGCCCTGAGCACTTAATCGAAGCACTTCCAGAACCCATGTAGAGCCCGTAGAGAATCCCCGAAGATAAGCCTACATCAAAAAACTCACCCAAACACCTCAGAAACACGAACAAACCCTAAACCCTCCGCCCCGAGGTGGCCCCAAGCTCTCTTCGTTCTCGCCGAGCTTCGGGCGCTACATCGGACACCGGATGCCGCGGCGCTGGGGACTCATTGGGCACCAAACAGAGTAGTTCCGTATTTTAGAGTCTTGTTTAGGGTCCCTTATTAGAAGGGTTGCGTAAACTTTTTGGGACCTGCAAAGGGGCCCTAATTTCGAGAACTTCCCATATAGAAGCCAGAATTGGTTCTAGTACTGTTACTTGGGGCTCCTCACTGCAATCATACGTTCTATGGCCTATGGGCGGTGTGTAATTAGGGTTCCAGAAGCGTCCCGATACAGGGTGGATGTTATAATTTGTCGGGGTTTCTCCTTAAAGCGATTAAACTTTCTTGGTGCCATACGGCCACCAAGGTCTCGCAGACACCGTTGTAGGTTTTTCTGTGAGTCTAGGGTTTGGTTAAATCACCACCGCAGCTGAAGTACAGATGTCGTATGGCTGCGGCCTTCGGATCGTTCTCAGACAGGTCGGGTCGCGGCCTCAAGCCCTGAAGCCGTGCGGGCCTGTAAGACCTGCCTTCAGAATTGGCATAGAACCCTGCACCGCACCCTACAGAAACCTGCTTTTAAACCTTAAAGTCCCGAAAGATCGCAGAAGGTTCGGAGAGCTGGTGCGCAGTGCCGTAGAAGCCGCAGCATGGAGGTTGGATCGGGGTTTTTGCTTCTACTCGGTGACCAGGTGGGAGTTTGGGCAGAGTTTTCCATTGAAGTCATGAAGTGGATTCTTCCGTAAGGCCTGGAGGTAAATCCACTGAAGGCCTTTTAGGTATGCAGTCAGACGCAGTTTTGAGGGCCACCGAAACGTCAGCCCAGTTTATGGTCTGAAACAGTTTAATGCTGATGTGTGCCGGGTTCAGAAAAGCATGCTGCGGGGTCTATTTGGTTTCGAGATCCGCGGGCTTTTGTGTTACAGGGCTTGGGGGACCAAATGGTCTTGAGATCTTGGTAGAACTGCTAGGACGTGAGCCCTAAGCCCCAGCCGCTCAAGGCCACAGCGCACACAAAGTTTTACAGGCCAGGCAACTAATAGAGGTGATCGGAGGAAGGATTACCAACACTGTCCCCATTTCAAAACAGTACTTGGGCCCCCCATGCTGCCCCCCCAAAACCCCTAAACCCCCTATACCCCCTAAACCCTCAACCTTAAACCCCAAAAACCCTCGAAGCCCGCAACGGAACGCAGCACCTGACTTCGAAGCTTCACTGCAGGGAGGCGCTGCTCCTGCAGCAGGAGCATCTCGACCCTGCCTTGGGCCCAGGGGCTTAGTAATAATACTAGCAAAAACAAGTTTCATAATAGTAATAGTAACAATGACGATAGTAACAATAGTCCCTATAGTCATAGTAGTCATAATCGTAATAATAATGGTAGTACTAATAATAAGCATCTCGACCCTGCCTTGGGATCAGAAGCAGTCATGATAATACTATCAATAGTAAGAACAATAGAAATAGCAAAAGTAGAACTCATAGTATAGTAACAATCATAGTAGTCATTCAACAATAGTCTGTAAGAAGTCGTGATAATAGTAAAACCAAAATCGGTAATGATGTATAATATTAGCAAGAAATAATTGTGATACTAGAGGTAGTAGGTAAGCCCGTCCTGGGGATACCTCCGGCTGAAAAAACCAGACGCTCGAAGAGGACAGAAAAATCCGACCTCGCTAAAAATCCGACCGCTTTGCAACCTCCGAAAAAAACAATTTCCTGAAGGAACAGGATGCTTGAAAGAACCCGAAGAAAAGCCATCATCACCTGCAAAGAAGTCTAGGAAGAACCCGACAAACATCGTATTGTGTCCACAGTTCGTTCTTTTCAACTGAGGGCCAAATGCACTGACACTAGGTATCTCTGCAAAGTCCTCAGCATTATCAGCTGACTCCCCACTCGTCTGCTGAGTCGGGACGTGTGCCCGACAAAGTCCTCATCGATTTGTACGGAAGTAGCTAATGGGCTTCGCACAAAAGAAAATTTCTTCGCTGCAACGGTTAACTCTCTCCAACAATGGTGTAGATAGTGGCTCTTCGGCATGAGTGGGTATCTTGCTCTGGACTGCTGCAGTGTTAAAAATGCAAGCTTGGAATACGACTGTAGGCACCGGAGACCACACACACCAATGGTCGTCGCTTCATCAGAAGGAAGCCAGTAGCCACCTTGGAAGGCCAGCCTAAAAGCACGATTTGCGGCAGCGATGCAAGTAAGAGCTTCCTCTGTAATCTCCGTTGGAACATACAAAGCCCGATCTCGCAAGAAATCTTCGAGGAAACACAACAATACCCGAGTGTCGGAGAACTTGCTCCAGCATCCAACCGGAAGAACTTGGTAGCCTTGCTCCATTCCGAACAGTTCGCGGTCAAAGTGGCCAATATGCAATGACAGTTTTGACTTCTTTCGCCAATTTTCATAGGCTTCCTCGAGAATGCTAAACTTGAAGTCAATAGATCCCAAATCCAGATTGGGCAGTATTTCGGCCACTGTCGAGGCTGCAATATGTTTCCCTGTTCCTCCGTGAAAGTTGTGCCAGATGTCAAATTCCAGAAATCGAGGAGCTCTCATGTCGTCCTGTGAAAAGCCAAGCCCTTGCAAGAAAGCTGGCAGTTGAAACCACGGCAATGATTCGTCCAGTGTAAGGCTCCACTCCGGATTCGTATTCAGATTTTCAAAAGGAATATTTGGAGTTCCAGCTAAACATCTCCAGCAAATTCCCTGGCAAACATCCTCCCCGCTTTTCTTGGCAACCCTGGTGAATGATCGCTCCAGGTGGCCAATCTTGGCTAAAAACGGATTATCTCCAGTAAGGCCCATACAAACAGCATGATAGTGTTTGCCGTCTCCAGCCACAAAACCCTCTTTCTCAAGTCGCATGTACGATGTAGCGATGTTGATGCCAATCTCATCCCACACTGTTTCGGCTTTCTTTCCGTATACAGACTTGGGAACTGCAACATGAAGAAACCTGGAGGACATGCTACCAGACATATTGAGGCCCATTCGATTGGCCTGCTCAACCTCGGAATGCTGTTGCTGGAACTGTCGTGTCCCGAAACCAACACATCCTCGAAGTGACCAAATCAAAATGCCCTTCTTCTTCTTCCCCCTGCCTTCATCTCCATGAGAAAAGAACGGTATCGCTCTTTGTAAAGAAACCTCTCCACGGGCAGCAGCTGCGAAAATTCGATGCCCAGGCTCAACTTTGGCAAACCGCCGCCACCACTCCAACAAGTTGTTATTTCCATGCAAATGGTGAAGCTGGTTATTACGGCCCAGGCAAGATACCATTTTGTATGGATCCAACCACGGAATCTTTAGAGTGCCATTTCTTGTAGTAACAGGAATTGTGTCTATGTCCACTTGCAAGGCACATCCGCTTCGCTGCAGCCTGGTGTTCATGATGCTCATTTATGCAAATTAGCATTTGAATTTACTTCTAAACCGGGAACAATCAAACCGATACACTCGAGATAGTCATACCAAGAGGCTCCCGAAAGGCATTCTTCTCAGCTCGATGCTTGCTTCCTTTGGCAAGCCTGGAATAAATCGATTTCGCAGAAGGTGGGTTCGGCTCATCCAGGCGTGATTTTGCATCGGTCCAGATGCTCTCCCCAGTTGCCTTGAGTGGCGATTGTTTGGTGATTGTTAAATGATATATCGGAGGAAATCGACATATTTATAAGCGGGATTATATAGGGTTCTCGGGAGGGTTGCCAAATTCAGTTTTGGGCAGGGCGATAAGCACTACCGAATTATGATATTTAATGGTCGGGAACCCCTAAAAGGCACCTACCAGCCTAAACACACAAACCACATAAAAGCCTCAAGCCAAATCTCGGGAACCCCGAACTCGGTTCTAAGTGCAATATGTTCTTAATGGTTCGATCGAGTCTAACTAAGCAGGATGCTAGAAACCCCAAGAGATATTCCATTTTGCACCCTTACATACTACATAGCCCCTAAAACCCACGACCAAACAAGCCAATCTCCCAGCGATCCCTGGACCGGCCGTGGGGCCCCTCGGGCAAGCGATCTGGCGACATTCAGGCGCTGCAACTCATGACCTGGCTTATTGGGGCTTTGTGTAACTTGTGTAGTTGAAGAATGTTTTGACTTCAAGGGCTTCCCGGGCATAGCAGTTTTCGCTCTTGCACAGCAGCCACAAGGCCTCCCCTTAGGCCCGATGAGCTCGCATGCACCCGTGCAACAGAC